GTTAGAGACGGAGAAGATGAAAAGAATGGAATTTGAACAGATGCAGAAGCAAAACGAGCAGCAGTTGCAAGGTTGCATAACATTTAAATAATATGAAAAAGATAAAAGATTTGATTTAAATCTTATTAGTTATATTAATATAATTCTTTCCAAAAGTTACGCAACTACGTGCACATGTGTATTTCTTTCCTTAGTTTTCATTTTATGTTCTTAATGTTATTATTTTTATTCTTCAATTTCTATCTTTGAAAATTTCTACTTTTGCATTATTCTTTTATATTAATTTTTAGATGCTGAACTACGACTTCAGCATCTGGAAGCGGAAAGAGAGCATTTGGATACAGAGTTGCGAGCTGCACGCGAAAAGGTGAAACGCGCCGAAGAGACTCAATTTTTATTGGAAGCACAAATCGTCACGCGTCCCTTGAGAGGAAGTGAGAGGATTCGACGTACTCAAAGCTTTATACCGACAACAAAAGAACGACCGTTGTCCATAGAAAAAATTGACAGCAGACCTATGACAATACAGAAGAATATATGACATAGATAACTAAAAGATCAATACCTTTATCGAATTGCATTTAAGTCTTCCACCAAATAGAGTGACACAAAGAACCTATAGAATCTATTATATTGTTGCAGAGCAACTATATTATATCTTCATGAAGAATGTAAATTCCATGCGAACTCGGAATTCGACGTACCTTATTCTTGATGCCTTGCTTTATTCGCAATCTTAGCCAAAAAGTATTTAGTTTTATAGTATTATATCAACAGATTTTATATACGCAAATTCCCATTCCTTATTATATTTGAAGATATTATGATTTTTATCTTATAGAAGACAAGATACAATGTCCACATGATGCGTATATAAATATCGTACAAAATATATATTCTTTTTTTAGTGTATTATCGTAAAATAAGAAAATATTTAATACAAATTTATACTTAATTATGTTGAAATATATATGTGTGTGTATGTGTGTGTGTGTGTATGCGTGCGTGCGTGTATAAAATTGTAAAATATGTCTGACAGAGGTGCCAAAATATTTTTGTAAATTTTATAAAACTTTTATAAATTATAAAAAATTCCATAATATTTTATTTGAATCAAATTTTATTTAATTGGAATCAGATGCAATTTTTATTTTTCACAGAGAGAGAGAGAGAGAGAGAGAGAGAGAGAGAGAGAGAGAGAGAGAGTATCTTAAACTAAGTTGATCTATTATTGATCAAACATTCCATATGTGGTCGACCTTAACACTTATGCTGTGTTGAGACCATCGTACGTTTCTAATGGAAAAATTTGTATTTCGTTGAGAATAAATAATTTGAATAATTTGCAACGATATCAAATCTTTAATTCATTGAAAAATGCCGAAAAAAAAGAAGGGAAAGGGAAGCAAGTTGGCTCGCATGAGCGACGAAGAACGCGTTCGCTACCTGCAGCATCGAGCCGAATTGGAGCTAGAAGCTAAACGACGTAAACAACAATTGATTGCAGCTTTTACCAAGGTACATTCAATACAAAATGGAAATATAATATTTAATAGCAATTTTTAAATCAATTTTAAAATGTAGAGTAAGCTGAAACGCGAAGAGGCGTTCGCGCGATTAAACACTGCCAAGATCAATGAACAATGGCGATTTATTCTGCGCCGAATAAAATGTAAAGAACTTCACGAAGATGTGGAATATCTTTGGAATAATTTCAATCGTCTGATGAAGACGAAAAATCTTATGATACAGCGTTTACATAGTGAGCTAGAAGCAGCCGATGTCAATCACCGAAGGCTGCAAGAGGCTCACATTAAAATGATGGACTTGATAATTGGTAACTTACATCATTGTAAATCTATATTATCGTTATTAATTATTACAATTATTAATTATTGATGATTATATAGGAAGATGTAAACAAAAGTGTATTGATCTGCACAAATCCTTCGCACACGAACGTAACCGTATAGTTTCGGATGAAACGAACGAATTAAATAGGATACGAAACAATTTAGAGCAGTATTGCAGTCAATTGCAAAATATAAATTTTGGACAAGATAAGAATATAGAAAATATATTGACGCAAACAAAAATTCAAAATGCCATTAATATATATGGCATCGCGTATTTGGTATGGATATTTTCCTTCTATTTTTGTGATTCATATGACAAATGTTAATAATTCTTTTGATCGAAAATATTTCACAGAAGGAAGATTCCTTGTCGCGCTTGATGCATTACGGTTCCAATGAGGTTGAGAAATTGTGGCGACAACTTAATGAAATAATAACTAAATATGAGAAAAATACGGGAGATAAGAGAAAACAGTACGAATACTTGAAAGAGCAGGATGATGCTCATCGTGTAGACGTGGCACAATATCCAAAGCTGCAGACACAATTACAGAGAGTAATTAAGAGTCTGAAACAGGACACGCACTCATTATCGCAGAAGCGGGAGCAAAGTATAGCGGAACTGAACGATCAGATTATACGTATGAGAAAGAAAACCGAAAGTTTGAGACAGATATTTTCCATGAATCAAGTACTAGACACTGCCCAGCTGAAGAAATTGACTATTATCAGCGCTAATATTCGAAAAGTAAAAATAATTAAATTATAAAACTTTTATTCAAATTAATTATCCAACAAAAAAATTGAAATAAGAAAATGTTTAAGAAATTATTATAATTTGGACTGGCTATCCGGAAAAGTAGGTACTTTAGAAATTCTTTGATTTTTTTGCAGGAATTGCAGAGGATTTCAGAAAAAGGCTTGACAGTACTCTCATTGCTGAGAATGTGCTCAAATTTGGAACCGTTCTCGCTGACTGTTCAAAAATATACTTTACGCGATACGGGTTCCAGGAGGGCTTTTACGAGTTGCGTAAGTATTGCACGAATACAATAATACACAAAAAAGTTTGTATCTTCAATTTTTAAATAACGAGTACTTACAGATGTCAGAACCGTTTGATAAATTGGACAAATTTTGGGAACAATTCAATTACATTAAATCCGATAATATCTTCATGAAAAAAGAATGTGATAAACTGTCTTTCGAGAACAAACAATTGAGAAACACTCTGCGCACATATCTCTTAACCATTTCTAAAGCTCAGATCGCACGACCACTCACGTCTATTTCTGTATAAATATACTTACTTCAAATGTGCCAACAAATATTTTTTAAATAAAATTTTAAAAAAGTAATTTAAAATGTATTAAACTAAAAGCTTTTGTTGAAATCTTTCAAGATAAAAATTAAACGTAATATTTGGAAAAGTTAAAATCTAATTTTAGAAAACAATCTCACATTTTTTATTAATAGATAAAGGAAATTGAAAAAAAAACACGCATCGATTGATATTCATACAATTTATTTAACGATGAGTGAATATACCTCCGCCCAACGATAAATATTTGTATGGCCGAGCGCGAGTCCGCCCTCTTACAGGATAGAAGAATATCTTTTCCTTCGGCGCCATGCTCTCAGTTTCCAGATAGATGTCGAAACATGCTCTCAGTCGTTGTATTTGCGCCGTCAATGTAGGGGACTTGGTCCACATCACATTGACTTCCCTTTCGATATCTCTAATGATATCGGCGGACGCTGGCACTGTTGGACTTATGCTTATGCTAAATACTGGTGCTATCTTGGGATAATCTGGCTTGATAGCAATCCTGGCCACAAGTTCGCCTAAAAAATGAATCAAATATAAACGTGTGGAAGCAATAATTTATCAGTATAGATAATTTGATATTATAATAATAATAATAATAATAATAACAATAATAATAATAATAATAATAATGATAATAATAATCATACTACTGCCGCGACGAAGTATAGCTTCGTAAAAGATGTCTACAGACAACACTAATCCCCGTTGGTAAAATTCCGGTGAAGCAACATAATTTGAATAACTTTTCCAGGTCATAGTTGTGAATCGATGCAAAGACGTTGAGATTTTTTGTGGCACGGGATCCGTCATGCTGATAAATATTGGCAGGTTGCCGGACTCTAATTGTCGTATTTCCATACATAGATCCAGCCTCGCTTTTATGCGCCGTTTAATTTCTTTCAACACACTCTCCACACAATCTTGTGCCAATTCTTGACTCGTCAGCTACAAATAAAAATGACATAAAATTGAATTTTAATTAAAATACGTTACTTTAATTGCGCATCTACTGTGGAAGAGATTTATATGTTTGAATCGTTATTAATTTTTTGTATTACAAACGGAGCAACTATTTTTAACATTTATATCACAGGACATACATGTAAACATTTTTTACAAGGACGTGTACCTTTTGTTGTTGTTCGGTCATCTCACACGAAACAAAGTGTAGACCAGCCATTCTTTGCGCCCATCTGTAAGGAATGCCTAGTCCCAAAGACGAAAACGATCCCAAGTTATGCCGCGACAGCTGATACTGATTGGCAGGATTCGGACTCTCCAATCCTAAATCCCGTGGATACAATTCGCGAAGAACCGACTCGGATACTAGCATGTCTCTATTAATTAATCATGCAAAAGATTAACTCAAATTTGTCCAATCAAAGGAAACAAGAGAAGAGTATTGTCACATTTGTATGTGTACACGAAATTTGAAATTAATATATTAATAATTGAGATTATAAATATATATAAATATATAAGAGTTATACATACCCAGCACTAATACCTCCCAAGTCTTCTGTTTCGAGTTTTGATTCTACTGTAACGACTTTTAAATATACCATGTAAAAAAAGTGAAGAGTCAGTCTTGTCTCATCTAAAAATTTAAATTTGCAATAAAATTTCTTCTTTTCTCAAGATTTTAAAATTATAAATTCAGATTGATAAATATGAAATAAATTTTGTTTCTCAATGTTATTTGATCTTATTTTTCAATTTAACTCAAATATCTTTTAAACATTTCATTTCTTATAAGATAGTAGATCTTTTTTATTCAAAACTCACTTTTTAATGTGATAAGTATTTTCACATGTAACGGATGACGCTGTAATAGTTTAGATCGTTTCTCTTCTTGCCTCGCTTCCCGGGATAATCTGTGATGCCTTTTCTTATGCACGGGTGTTTCTTCCACGATACTTTCCAACTGATTCTCAGGATCCGAATCAGACTCTTGCAAACCATCATGATTATTTGCGCGTTTTGCTTCATCCTCGTCACCTTCCACCTTGACTAGCAACGTACTATCTACAAAATATTTCGGAAGAAACGATACCTGTACAAAATTTTATTATTCATAAAACAAAAATATATAATTCAATTTTTATACGAATTATACCATAAGCATCTCTGTAAGCAGACGCTTTTGCATACAACACATAGAGCGGTGATGCAAGCAATGATGCTTTTTGATGCTCCTGGCGAATTTTATCCAATGGCAATCCAAGACTTTCTTGTAACGGTTTGCTTGCCTGAAAATATAAAAAAAAAAAATTTAATTTGTTATTCATACAGGAACATTTAATAAAAACATTCTGTATATTTTCTAAATCAATAAGTTAAATTTTCCTACTTCCAATATAGAGCGCAATTGCGGCGCAAGATTGTCCAAACGAGTCTGTTTCGTTTCAATACTGGATGCTACTGCTTTTTTACTCTCTGTCAATTCATCGCACAATGCCGCCAATTGCTTTCGTTGTGTCAGTTCCCATTCTAAACGAGCCAGTCTCAATTGATGAGAATTATTCTTTGTTATTTCCTAAAATATGTTTGTGTTATATATATTACAAAAAAAAAGAATTAAATTTTATGTATATATATATATTCGAATTATATTATTTATAATTTTATGGGTCCGCTCCGTTTTGCACTTACAGCGTTTGTAAGCATTATTTGTTCTTGTTTAACATTTGATAGACAATAAGGATGAATTGATGCTGACAGCATGTGGGCATGAAAATGGAACGCACCCTATGTAAAACTTATGTATACATACATGTCGCGAGATACTTTCTGGAGCTTCTTTATAAAATTCTTCTTCTGAAACAAGTTCTATCAATTCATCTTTAGATCTAGAATAAAGAAAATAAAATTATTCAATTTTGTTTAAAGTGATAGTAAAAAAAGTCAAAAGGTTCTTTTGCAAAAAATAACAAAAATTTACTTGAATTGAAGACATTTGATAACTTCTTTCTTCAAATGCATCACTTCGTACAATAGATTCTGTAAATGTAAATGTCTGCTATCAACGCTACTCTTTGCAGCCACTAGAGAGTCTCGTGCAGATTTTGTACGAAACTTTTCCATGCGATTTAGTTTCTTCAGTTCTATAAAAGCTAGTGACGTTTGGATTTGCAGCTCACGAATATCATCTTTTACCTAAAGCATTTGTTTTAATAAGTTTAAAGCAAACTTGACAATAACGGATAACGTAGAATGTCTGTTACAAACATTTGAGTCACCACTGGACTTTAATTTTGCTATTTTACTCATCGCCGCTCGAATATCGTTACAAGTTGCCAGAAAGCATTCGGAATCATCCTCAGACAATCTTTCAACAGCTTCTTTCTCTTCATAATTAATTATTATCTGACAATGATATGAGAAACAAAAGTTAATGAGGCAGCAGCAGAAGCAAAAAGATTCATTTTTTATTCTCTATATTGCAAACAAGCTGACGTTACTTCATTCGTCATTTCAATATTCAAAACGTCATTTTGACATTAGACAATAAATAACGTCAGCTGGATTGTTTGCTGGATCGCTAATAGCAAACGTATATATTTTATTTTATTTAGTTTAATTTTTTTAATCGTAATTTCATGCATTAAACTTAACCTGAGATATTGACAAAAATATATCTAATCGATTGATCAAGCGATTTTTGAGCGAAAAAATAAAAAAATTTGAATAATAGAAATCGTTTGTTATTGCGAAAATTAAAAGTGATATTTTTCTTAAGTATATTTTCAGAAATTTGAAGCGAACAAAAAATAATATTACAGTATTATACGTTAAATATCTTGTAACTTTTCAAATCTTTAACTTTTATACCTTATACATATCTCCGTCTTTCATTGAAGTTCCGCTGTTTGCACTCACAGACTTTCTTCTTTTTTTCACACTATCCGATTCATTCTCTTTACCCATTTTTCACGTCATAAATAAAACCAAGTGAAAATTAACTTCTACTCTTAACTTCAACTCTGAACAATTACGAGTGTAACATGCAATATAAATCACAAATCGCAATCACATATACATATTGCCACCACACCAAAGTAGAGAGAAATCTGAGAAAGGCCATGGTCAGCCTTTTTCCTATTACCATCAAAATTGCTCGTACACTACCGCCAGTACATTTTCAATTTAGAAACTATGTTGGAAACTTGATGAGAATTTACAATTAGTACAGACACAAACCACATCTACTTTCGACGATACAATTTTATCGACAGTGTCGGAAAATGTATGTAGTCACACAGTTTTCAAATTAAAAATGTACATCAGAGAGAAAACTTGAAAGCGGACATCCCAGCCTTTTTCATGAATCACCTCGTAGGATATGTCCACGTTTTTGCTTTTTCGCTGTGTTATTATGTAGGCAATTAAACAAGGATGAAACGATCAAAGTTGATTATTCGTTTTTGTTTAATCCTCGTAATAGTATGGAAAAGAACCACAAAAACGTGAACATACTCTACGAGGTTCGATATATGAAAAAAGTCGGAATGTACACTCTCAAATACATACATACCAGAGAGAAACTTGAGACAGGACATGACGGACCAAAACCTATAACCGCAAAATGTTACAGATTTTGATAATGCACTATAATATGAGTATTCGCATCCACCATTTTTAGTCTTTTTCTCACTTTCTTGCTCCTTTCCTCCTTTGCTCTCTCTCTCTCTCTCTCTCTCTCTCTCTCTCTCTCTCTCTCTCTCTCTTTCTCTGGGGCTCCGCACAATAAAAAATATAGGGAACAGAGAACAGAGAATACGAATTTCAACTTATCAAAAACTATGTATTCCACAATATATTATTTCTGATAGATTGAAATTCTTATTTTCTGTTTTCGTTTCCTGTTCCTTTTATTGTGCGAAGCTCCCCCCTCCCTCTCTCTCTCTCTCTCTCTTCGCTCCGTTGCTAAATTAATTGAGAAGACTGAAGAGAAAATAAAGAGTGGGGAAAGAACTAAAAATGGCGGATGCAAATACCTATATTATAGTGCTCTAATTTTGGGCCACATGTCCTCTCTCAAGTTTCTCTCTGTACATATATCGAATATACTGACGGTAGTGTCACCCATACGAGCCATTTCGATGGTAACAGGAAAAAGGCCGGCATGGCCCCTCTCAGGTATTTTTCTATGATCCGTCGGTGACGGAATTGACGATAAAACAGTTATTGATATCACATGGCATATTACCCACTGAGAAATTTCACGAATGTTGCTATGTAGTACGTTTTGTTGATATAGAGGCCAATAAAGCCGTTTTCTTTCCAATTCTTTCTATGCTCGAATTTCATATATTCGTAATATTGTATTATTAATATTATTATGGTTGTTCTATCTTTGCGGATGAAAGTATCACTATGTGATAATAATTTATCTATAAAATAAACAAAATAATAAAAGCGTAAGAGCATAAAAGAGTTACGAGAGTAAGACAGTGAGCCCAAGTTTACCGAAAAGTGGAACAATCCGTCTTTAATGAAATAGGTATGTACATATATATATATATATATATATATATTAGATAAACTTACATGTACATTTTCGTACATTCTTTATTGACTGCAAGTCATCTAAAATAATATTAGTAATTCTTTAAATTAATTAATAATGAACATTTTGAATTTTTCAGTGTGGTTGTAAACAATGTTATTCAGCAGAAGCACATCTGTATTTCGACAGTGTTTACAACGGAAACTTTTTGCAACCGTTGATACGTTCTATCTTGTAGAATTACAGAAAAATTGTCGAAAAAATATATATGAATACACTCAAACTCGTAATTTTAGAAATTTTGGTCATACTAAAAGAAAATCTCGCTTTATCTCCTATCTCCCAATTGTACTTTGCTACATTGGTATGTTTATAACTATAACTTTTGATTGGCAACGGTAAGTGAATAATATTAATTGTAATCAAATGATGCGAATACATTAAATATATCATTCAACATACCAATTGTTCTATATTCTATATTTTACAGCATGTTTAATGTAATACCTAAAGTAGATGCTGCTAGTATCTTGGACTCGGAAGAGACTCAGAATAATGAAAACGTGGAAAATATAGAACAGGATGTACAAAAGAGGAAGAAGAACAAAAAACAGAAAATTGGATTTCGCGATAGAAAGGTTTATTAAAGATTTGCATTAGCCATAGTAATATATGTGTATACGTAATTTTTCAAGATTGTCTTGAGAGTAGATTACCAAGATTACTGAGATTAATTATTAGGTGTTGGAATTAATTCGTAGCGTTTTTTAATGAAAGAATGTTATTTATTTCACATGAGCATTAAAAAATACATTAATGAAAGTACTTCCCATCACTTGTAAAACGCTACGAATTAATTCCAACACCTAATACATAGTAAAATAAAGAAGGAGATATATATGCATATATAAAATATGTAAAATAATTATTTTTCTCTGTGTTAAAATAGTACTATAGATTTTACTATTTAGTACTTTTACTTGCACTAGTATATGTCTATGCAGAACGATGCAGGCTCAAGTGTTTTTACAGATAATAGAGTATGAGAATAGGATTAGAGCATATTCGACGCCAGATAAAATCTTTCGTTACTTCGCGACTGTGAAAGTAATTAATTTAGAAGGTATTGAAATCTATATGACACCTGATGATTTTCTCCGAGCTATCACACCAAATATGCAGCAACCAGTTGGTAGGACTTTCAAAATTTTATTGTATTGGTGCTAAAACATAATTCTGGAATTGTATTTTTTTGTTTACAATTATTTACAATAAATCGTAGTAACAACTTACCTGCTTCGCTCTGCTAACTAAAACATTTCCATACTAATTTCTTATCTAATATCTTGTATAAACTATTGATCGCCAAAATCGAATATGGATAATGTCGTATAAGTATTTCCTAAAATTAAAAGTTGATAATTTTGCGCATTAATTAATTTAAAAGCTCGCGACTATCTATTAATTGTTTTATAAGCAGATAATAGAATATGAAAATCGTATGAGGCATTATTCAACGCCAGACAAAGTATTCCGTTACTTTGCAACTCTTCAAGTCACAAGCAATGATATACACGAAGTATTTATGACGCCAGATGACTTTTTAAGATCGATGACACCTGGTGTGAAACAGCCCGATGGTAATCCCATTTCCCCTTCTCTATACAACTTTCCTCACCTTTAAATGAAACATTATTAAATACAATTTTTTTAATTAACTGTGAGGTGCTTGACTGATTCCTTGTGATACAGTTTTTCTGCACGTGCAAAACAATTAACATTTTTAAAAGTTACAATTTATATTTAATATATATTATTATATTTTTTTCAAGATTATACATCAGATCTATCTCTATCTCTCATATAAGACAGTATATTAAAAAATGTAATAGTAAGAATTACATTAATTTTCAGGTCTTGGACTAGATCAGTACAAACGTTACGATCCAAAGGTACATAAATGAAATTCAATAAAAAATACTCAATCAAAGGATATTTTTTTATAGAAATGTTTCCTTTCCTATTTAGAATATTCACACTAAATTAGAATTAGAATTGGACGAAGATAGCATCTTCTACAAACTAGGCAGTGCAGGCCTTATTACTTTTTCAGATTATATCTTTTTATTGACTGTATTGTCAAGTAAGTCGTTTATTTTGTCAATTTTTAATTATATATAAAAAATGTTTGCAATGTAGTTTAAAATACACTTTCGTTCGAATGTATCAATTGAACTTTTCATATTGCATGATAGGAACATCAAGTTTCAATGATATTCAAACCTGTTTTACAGCTTCTAGACGTCACTTTGAAATCGCCTTTAGAATGTTTGATTTCAATGGAGATGGTGATGTCGATTCCGAAGAGTTTGGAAAAGTAGCTACATTAATACGACAACAAACTAGTATAGGTACTCGACATCGTGATCACGCGACTACAGGAAATACATTTAAGGTTATAATATTTATCTAGTTTTGTTGTATATCATCGTGAACAATAAATGTTAAATGTTTATTAATTTGAAATATATTATATATAAAGCACAATCATATATATGTAAGCACAATCAGACTTAATTGAATAAACAAAATCTTAATCATTTTGTTATTGAAATTTTAGGGAGTAAATTCTGCGCTAACAACATATTTTTTTGGACCACAAATGAATCAAAAATTAACAATCGAGAAATTTTTGGATTTTCAGCAGCAGCTGCAACGAGAAATTTTAAGTCTTGAGGTATAGTAATCGATAGTAATCGATCCTACAGACTTGCCATAATATGCACAGCCATCAATTCCATATTATTATAGTATTTACTTATTGTGCGTTTTTTTTCCCCCTTAGTTCGAACGACGAAATCCAGATGAGCATGGCAATATCACTGAGGTAGATTTTACGGAATTGTTGTTGGCTTATGCTGGATATCCAGCGAAAAAGAAAGCAAAAATGTTGAAGAGAGTGAAAAAGACGTGAGTGTGAAAATATTTAATTTTTATATATTATAGCCATAAAATCTAAAATTTTTTAATTATATATAGTTAAACATCATAATTATTTATAGCTTTAAAGAAGATCCGAAAGGGATCAGCAAAGAAGAATATCTCAAGTTTTTCCATTTTTTAAACAACATTAACGATGTTGATACAGCCCTGACATTTTATCATATAGCTGGCGCATCTATCGATCAAGGTATATAAAATAATAGAGTTGTCGGTTGATTAAATATTCTTATTGAAACTCTGAAACAATAGAATAATTTAGAATAATTATGGTTCATCGATTGTATGGAACAATCGGTAATAATTAAGAATATCAAGCATTTTTATTGCTATATTAATTAGTTATGGATATATAATAGTGCAATATGATGTTGCAGCGACATTAAAACATGTAGCAAAAACTGTAGCACATGTTGATCTAAGTGATCATATCATTCAAGTGGTATATACGATTTTTGACGAAAACAGTGAGTTGATTTTTTATTATAATAGAAATACTGTATTTACTTTAATATATACTCTACTATGAAAAGCTTAATTTTCTTACAAGTTATAGCATGATATAGCATTAAATGTATCTTAAATGTGTATTAAATATGTAAAATGTATTTAAAACATGATTAAATTGTTTATGATGGATCTTGTTCCACAGTGGACGGACAACTTAGCAATCGAGAATTTGTCGCTGTGATGAAGAACCGTGTACTGCGCGGTCTAGAAAAGCCAAAGGATACTGGATTTGTCAAGTTAATTCAATCCTTGATGAAGTGTGCGAAAAACAGCAATCTCCTGTCGTACGATAAATGATCGAGTATTTAAATGCTACTTGGTCTTCTTTAGGTATCTGTTGTTAAGAGAGAGAGAGAGAGAGAGAGAGAGAGAGAGAGAGCGGGGAGGGAGGGAGGGAGAGAGATAAAATATTATGCAAAATATAGAATAATAATATTTAAAACAAGTGTGCAATTATTGTAATATTTATTATAGAGCATATTATTTGTAAACTAGAAGGTAGATAGTTAAAAATAAAATCTACGTCAATGATGCATTACGTTAGTACACTTTCACTCTTTTATTAAATAGAGCATATTATCCGAAAAAAAATGTGAGATGCAGAGACCATAATTTCTCCTATTCAATAGTTTACCTCCTCAATAGTCCTTCTCTTCAGTAGTTTACCATTCACTCTATAAGATAACAACGGATTGCAAGTTTAAAGTTATATTATTAGATACAACAATGCGGATAAAATATAATTTTAATTTACTTTTTATACAAATGGCAACGATACTACTTTTTGTAAATTTTGTCGCAGCCCATTTATTGGAAAAACTTACAGAAATGACTTTGACAGGTAAATATCATATATAAATTATGATTTAATTGTGTGCATTTTATATAACAATATTATATGTACGTACATATATATTAATTTGTTTTAATTATGATTATAAATTCACAAATTGTGAATAAAGAAGGGACCTCAAAACAGAAAAGAGCATCGGATATTTTGTCGATGGGACAATACTTTCAGTGAGTCAAGTCTTCTATATATCTATTTATGAGTAATTGGTATTAAATTTTTCAAGATAGAATTTTATTTCTAATTTTTGTATGTCATACATTTTTACGTATACATATGTATGAATTTTAATACATTTTATATTCGTATATGTGTATTTTTCAAATATCTTTTGTTTCACCCGGCACATGAGTAGTTCGGAATCTTATAAATTCTGACGCGAATTATAGATTGTTTAAAGTGAATTAGATATAAGATATAACATTTGTGTAAAATGACAAAAAAATTGTAAATGTATTTTGATAACGTTCATCCCATGTAGAGATATATTTTCGGAACATTTGGCACCTCTTAAACTTGAATTTGGTTATGTCTGTGAGAATCCTACTGAATGGGAACAAAGATTCGAACGAAAAGATTTTGACAACAACCGTTTTAGCGGTAAGGTAATTATCTTATTTCATTATCATATAGACAAGTATATTATTTCTTTATATACGTAATTTTTTTATATACATCATAATTTACTTGTCAAATTATTTTATATCTTATGTACGTCTTGTATTTTGTATTTGATATCTTATATCATTTTGTAAATTAAAACTATTAAAAAGAGAGCAATGTCTTGAATAATCATCAATTTACTAATATATCTGTTTAAATGTAATTTATTATTTATAATTCATTGCATAACTTTTTTTTAGGTGAAATGGGGTAACAAAAATGGAGAGTACGGCGAACAGTATTGGGACTTGAATCATTAACTTTACAAAGACTAATAATTATTCATAAAGAAAAATAGTGAAGATTTGTTTAATAAGATAAAAATAAGATGTTTAAATAAGATAAAAATTCCTTATTTGAAATAGTTTCTATATACAATTTATTCTAAAATAATATGAAGAAAAAATGTTTTAAACAATTACACGAAAGATTAAACATTTTTAATTATAAATTGTAAATTATAAATGATTGAAAGTAAACTGTAGAAAGAAAAAGAGTTGATATGTGAAATAAGAAAATACTATTTGGCGGAGCCGAGCATGAGCATCGGTGGTTCAGTGGTAGAATGCTCGCCTGCCACGCGGGCGGCCCGGGTTCGATTCCCGGCCGATGCAATATCTTTATTTTTGTCTTTGTCCATGTAAATGTGAAATTATTTACGAGACAGTAGAGAAATCGAATTGTTGAGTTTCATACGTTAATATTTAATTGAAAGTCATATATATATATATATATATATTTTTTTTTTTTAATGAAAAAAATCAATAAAACTGAACATCAATTTTACCATGATCAATATAATTTCAATGCCAGACAGTTATGGAGATTGTAGACAGACTAGCAGTTTTCCCGACATCCAGCTCGCATACAAATGTGAAATGCCGTTTGACCTGCGCCCGTAGGGGTCGCGATTTGCTTTCGAAACGGATCGATGGTCTCTTAATTCGATTTCGCCAGATTATGTTGCAATTACTCAAGAATAAATCGCAGCTTGGCCAAGTTATGAGAGAGGCGGCCTTCTCGTTGGTCGAAGTTAATTACGCGACAGGTGGAGTAAACGAGCTGGTCCTACAGGCGGTCGACAAGGCCAAAACCAAGATTCGATCCAGAGAGGAAATGATCGGTGGGATTCGACTATGGATTTACGAGGCCTTCCGCAGTGGTGCCGATCCCTTCAAATTTATTGGATTGGCCAGAGGCGGTCAACAAGTGATTATGTGCATTTAGCACCATTATATGCATACACAGCATGCGCCATATGATGAAAAGTTGGCTACAATTAACCGTTTGCTTTTATCAATTGAGTAAACATTGTTGCTCGTCGGTGATGTTCCGCAAGTTTCTATATACAAATATCTCGATACCTCGCAACAGGTAGCTAGATTGAAGATCAATTATGGAAAGGCGATAGATCTGTTGGTCGAATTGGCGTCATTGCAGCGCAACTGTCGGATCGTCGATCGAATAATCAAGACAACGAGACGTCGCGTAAACGCTCTTCGCTATATCATTATACCTCGGTTAGAACGGACCCTCGCGTACATCATCACCGAACTCGATGAGTACGAGCGAGAAGAATTTTACCGCCTTAAAAAGATACGAGAGGGGAAAACGAAGCGATCATGTGATCGACAGTCCTCTTACCATTTCATTCGGAGCGCCAATGTCCTACTAGACGACACGGATGAGGATCTTCTCTTTTAATACGTGTGTGTGTGTGTGTGTGTGTGTGTGTGTGTGTATTATAACAGAATTGTAATGATCCACGATTCGAGAGTACGCTTGAAGAAAATACAGCGGTACGAATGTCCACGACAATGTTATCTTTATATATTTTGTGCTAATAATTAATTTATTTTACTCTGTTCGAACTCTCAAGGAAAGTAGTCACCCTGCGATAAATGCCGAACCTCTGAACGAAGGAGAAAGCGCGAAAGAACGCGAAAGTAAGAGAAAAGGGTACCAGAGCTGTGTAGGTCCAATTATACCAATTAAGAAAATACAGTCCGTAAAGCCAATCTTAAATTAACTACAATGGTGTCAAACATCGGGATATGATAAAGGGAACGTGACTGCTGTTCTTTTCTCTCTCCTAATAATCTACTCTTGACAGATCTCTCTCTCTCGTAGGTGTAGCAACTGCATTGAAATGACTCTCCTCCTTTCACACGCGAAAATTTCAACTTGCCCAGGTATTGTGCGCCTAATTTTCACGTTATATTAAATACAAGCTCCAATTAATATTGATAATTTCCTTGTAAGAATGAGTTTCCTTGCTATTTGCAGCGCGTTTCTTCAACCGCTCAAATTTAGAAATCTTTCTCTCTCTCTCTCTCTCTCTCTCTCTCTCTCGTTTTTTCTCTTTTATAAATAAGATACGCATGTGTAAAAGATGTATAAAAAATGATTCCGCGCGGCATACCGAATACGCGAAATAATCAGAGTCGATTGGACTCGATCGCCAGACGAAGAAGAAGGCGCAGTGGCGTATACGAAATACGAATGTGTGTGTGTGTGTGTGTATAGGAGCACGACGGAACGGAAATCCCTATTCCCTGCCGATGGAGAGAGGAACCATGCAACCAGAGGAGAGCAGAGGAGAGCCAGAAGGCCCTGTAAAGAAGCGAACAAGCGTAGAAAGGAGGGGAGGGATAAACAGACGTCACGTCACACTAGGGCGCAATCCGTGGGCGTCGGACGCGGCACGTCGCGTCGCGTCGCGTCGCGTCGCGTCGGCGGTCGGGCGAGCAACGAGCGATGAGCGACGAGCGACGAGCGAAGAGCGTTTAGTCGCGCGGAAAGCTTCGAGGAGGGAGGATCGCGCGTCCAGCCTGGCTATACTTCGGCGATTGATTCGCCGATTAATTAAATTCACAATGATCCGTCTGAAGGATCATTGTAGCACGCGTTATCGTCTTCCGTCATTGCGGTCGCCTTTATTGTGATCGATTCTACATTTACATTCAAATCGCACTTCCACGATTGTTTAAACGCGCGCGTGTCGCGCGTCACATACTGGATCGGCTGGATCGTGAATTGTTAATTAATCATTGCTGTGTCCGCACGTGCGTGCGTGCGTGCGTGCGTGCATGCATGCGTGTGTGCGTGCGTGCGTGCGTGCGTGCCGTGCATGCCGTACGTGCATGCATGCGTACGCATGTTCCTCGTGAATGGTTTACAAACTGTTCCTTTTCTGAGAGAAGAAACAATATAAGATGCTGCGTTTCACGTTATACATATATGTAAAGTTAATTATTTTTCAAATTTATTTCTAAATTATTAAATTAAAGTGTGTATGTGTATGTGTGTATGTGTGTGTGAAATCTACGTACATTTTATCAAGTTCAATCTGCGCAAAGGACAGAGTACGATGTCAAGTTATCATGTTGAGATCTCAGTTGTTGAAACTTGATTAAATTAAAAGCAAGACCGAATCTACATTGGAGAGAAGCACCAATTGAAATTGATGATCTCATTTAACGCGCAAACAAGTTAATTGAACTATTCGTCAAGATTGAATTTGACGGCTCTTCAAATAAAGCTATGACAGGATTGTAATTACGACAAGAAAGTGAGTCCAATTGAATAAATAATAAAATTAAATCTTTGTTATTTTTTGTGAAAAAGCACAGCTCTCTTAATCAAATTTGGAATTTAATTAATTCTTGATGTTTTTCTATGTATATTTTTAATATAGATCATTTGTCTCAATATATTTCTGTATTAAATTTTCATGTTTTTACAGTTGTTTTACTTACCAGAAATTTCAATTAAAATCAATTAATGTAAAACTCATTTTATACACACACACGTATTTATTTTATCTCTCTTCTATTTCCATATTCTAGATCCATTACGCTTCTTCTTCGAGTTTCCGATTGAAATTCGGAACCGCGTGATGCACGATCGACAGATATATCCCAAAAGTTGCAGTACTTCCAGCATGACGAATGTGCCATGTACGATAGAAAAAGTAAAATAACGTTTACGATATAAGGAATATTTATTGAAAAAGGTTTTTCGCGGAAAATGCGTTGGATTTTGTTGCCGTTGTTGACGTTGATACGTGCAATATGGTGCGCGCACGGCGCCTGCGAGCCGATCAGAATCGAGATGTGTCGTGGTCTTGGCTACAATGTCACTGTCATGCCGAATCTAGTTGGTCACGAGATTCAAGGCGATGCCGATTTTACCTTACAAACGTTCAGCCCGCTCATTCAATACGGATGCAGGTAAATTTTACGCATATCGTTTTTTTTTTTTATAATAGTGTACGAATAGTATACGTTGTATTATTAGAAGCGTTTTCTTTATAACTGCAATCTTATAGCAATCTTTGCTTTATAACGGATGATAATAATAACAATAATAATAATAATTTAACGAAATAATTTTTTTTACGGATGCACACATTGGACATTATTTACATTTATATTTAGATATATCGGCTGATTTCACATTAGATAAATATTTCTAATAATTAATAATATCTATCTATTAAACGCAATATATGTGTTGAAACTTTGAATAATAAATAAAGACGGAGGCAGAATGTTAAAAGATCTGACTTTTGAGCTGATTGTTAATAACTTGTTGCAGCGCGCAATTGCATCTGTTCTTGTGTTCGGTGTATGCTCCGATGTGTACCGAGAAGGTCCCCGCACCTATAGGTCCCTGTCGAGGTCTGTGCGAACAAGTGCGGGCACGCTGTTACCCGGTTCTTCAGGGATTCGGTTTTCCCTGGCCCGCCGCATTGAACTGTTCCAAGTTTCCACCGGAAAACAATCACCAGCACATGTGCATGGAAGGACCGGGCGAGCCAGGACCAGCTAATCCTATTCAGGTTTTTTTAGCGAATATATATGTTATAAAGATGTATATCTATATTAAAAATTGTTACTCGACTAAACATTACACGTACATGTATTATCATCCAGGCGGTAAGCACCAGCAACGGACCTTGGGGCTGTTCCTGGTACGCCAAGTCTGGATTATACATCTTCCTCAATCGCTCTGGAAGATGCGCCGCTGCTTGCGATGCCGATATCCTTTGGTCCCAGAAGGACAAGAAGCTCGCGGAGGCCTGGATGGCCGTATTCGTAACGGTGTCCTTAGTCTCCGTCGCGATCGCTATCCTGACGTTATTGAAGCCACGCAAACGACCTATACTGACCAGCCCTGCAGGTAAGAAAATCTTTTTCGCAAAGCGAAGTTGTTTGATTGATTCTGATTCTGATTCTGATTCTGATTCTGCGAATGCCGTTTTAGCGTTTTTTCACGCCATTGTATTTAAATTCTTCAAAACATGGATAATAATTGTTTGCAGAACGTGCAATAGTCTTTTTGACTATTTGTCATGCGGCAGTCGCAATTGGCTACGTGATTCGATTGGCTGCCGGCCGGCTAAACGTCGCCTGCACTCCTGCGATTCAGTTACATCCACAGGAACAAGCTGTCTTGGCCCAGCAACAACAGCAACTGCAGCAACAGCAGCAACAGTACCTAACGCAAGACGGCCTAGCTAATCCATATTGTGCCGTCGTTTTTCTGCTACTCTATTATTTTGGAAACGCAGCGATCGTTTGGTAAGTTTACACATTTCTTATTTTATACATCATTTCAAGATTGATGATTGATGAATGTAAACTATCGATTGGATTGGGGGTTACCGCGATTGTCGCTCCTTGAAATCTTTTTATTTATCGTAGACTAACTTGGATATTAATTTACAAACAACGCAGAGGATGTTGGTATATGTAATTTAGCTGATGGTATATGCAATTTCGTTTTACTTGTTGAAAAAGGTATTTCAACAAGTTTTCTCTATCGCTATATTGTTAGATTTTATAATTACGCACAGGTGCGAGAATCAAATGGTACTCTCGTATAACATGTTTCAAAGTTGTCGGGTGTTGCAGAGCGGCTTGTTGCACTCGACCAGCTTTGCTGCGGCGAGACTGTATCGTCCGCCGAGGTAGGGATAACAATCTGGCAACAGTGTTGACTCCCCTCGTGCCGCTAACGAGCCTCTGACTCCCATCTCGTCCCATCCCATCTCATCCCGTTTATACTGAGAGGCTCATCTTAACGCGTCTAACGGGTGGCATACTTGAGCAAAAAATTATCCGTTCGCCCATGTATTTGTTCCGATAAAAATCCCAATATTTATACATACGTCATGTGTAATGTATTGTATAAAAAAAATTCGAGAAAGTTTCATCGTATCAATGTATGCTTTTGTAAAAAATGTACTTTTTAATGCGACAAATGTATTTTTTAATTACAAATTACAAAATTTGTAATTTTACGATTTGAAATTTCAATATTCGTTTCACGATAAGAGAGAAGATCTTTGTAAAAGATCTTTGTAAATTATTCTTCGAAAAGATTATTCTTTATTTTATGTTTATCAAATTTGTGCATACTTGATTTCAGAATTTTTAGATTTTTCACAATATTTAAACTGCTTGAAACTAATGCCGCATATAGTCTTGAGATTTTCATCTACGTATATTTTTCAGAATCTTAATAAGTACTTTGCGTTCATAAAACTTTTAGTACTCGATAAACGAGGTTCACCCGGTATGTGAGATGGGTCGGAGAGGAACCTTGTTGCCAGATATGCATGGAGTCAATGGCATTCCATCTTAGAGAAAGCGAGTTGCTTGAGAAGGAAAAAGAAAGTGCGAGAAGAGCAGAGAGAGAGAGAGAGAGAGACGGCAAGGTGGGAGATGGATGAAACGACGCTTCGGACAAAAACAAGATGATTCATATAGTATATGAATACCATTTGTGGTTGTAATTGTGCAAACGAGTTTCGCAAAATCGATCGTCTTATAATATCTCATGAATTTTCAAATTGATTTAAACATTCAACTATAAATATTGAAAATTGTTTTCACGTGTTTTTCAATCTTCATCGATTTCACATATTGCACTCATTGTTAGTTTACTATAATTTCGAAACGTACAATTTGTACAGTTTCGGACTCGGGGCTTTACAAGTTTGCACTGAAGAGTGCAAGTTTTAAATAAGAAATCAGTACACGGTTAAACCCCTCAATCGCGAAGATCCGACCCTGAACCCGGACTACTCGGGCCCGAATACTTTTGCGCGCCATGCAGCGTGCTATAGCGAACTCTATAGCGTATGGCCATAATTTACATCGAAAGAGCCGATAAACATCGCGCCCTCCGGACACGAAACCACGAAGCCACGAAGCCGTGCACCATGGACCCATAGGGTCCTCCTAGCCATGCATTGTCCTGTCTCGCCTCTCTCCTCTCTCCTCTCTCTTCTCTCCTCTCTCCTCTCGCTTTCCACCACCTCCCTTTTCACATTATTCCCACAACATGTGTCAAGTTTACTATGCTTGAAAAGCAACAAGATTTTTAACGAGCTTTCTTTAAAAGAGAAATTATGACTCATTTACGAAATTTCTCCAATTTTTAAATTCCATTAGAGCTTTTATTAGAGCTCCGAGTAAGAATTTATGCATTTGTGATAACAAAAAATTACTTGACAATCTTTAAATTATCTATTTTTACGATAGTTGTGTGAGACTAAATTGCTAATGGAATATTTTGTTAAAATTAAAAAGTCGTAATATAGATACACACGCGCGCGCACACACACACACACACACACACACACACATAATTTTTTAAAATCAAAAATTGTCAAATTTAAGTGACGATTCGATTCAATTCTCTCTCTCTCTTTCTCTCTCTCCTCCCTCCCCCCTCTCTCTCTCTCTCTCTATTGAAATCTATTCTGTCCTGAAAGAATCGATAATCGGCGTTGCTACGCCATTGACAGAAAGGATCGTACGGCCCCATAGTAGGTAGGTAGGTAGGTAGGTAGGTAATCCGGCAGTTTCGTGTTTCCGTTTCTCTCTTTTCTCTCCTTTCCTCTCCTCTGCCTCCCAAAGTCCCTGCTCCAAGAGTTTGACGGCCGTCTCAAGAACGAGGGAAAAAGAACAAGTCAAAAGAAGAGCTCGAGGAAAGAGCTGATCCATCATCTCTCTCTCGGTGCCCACTACCCAATCGACCCAATCCCCAGCATTCCCCGGGCCTTAAGCTTAAGGACCTGGATCCGAGAATTTCTCGATAATTTATCCAAGATAAGAGCTCTACGCGCCAGTGATGAGACTGATGAGAGTGATGAGTGAGGAACGCGGCCAGTGCAGCGATGAGGAGCCATCGGGCCCCGACAAGTCTCCAGAGTTATCTCGTCTCGCATTCGTCTATTTATTCTCTATTTCGAGGAAGACGGAACTCACTGCGTCTTTTTATAAATTCATTCAGACGTATCGTAAAATATTATATTTAGACCATCTATAATATACGTATAATGTCAAATCAAAAGTCAAAGTAGGATTCCATTTACATTTTTTAAATACACTTTTTATACACTTTTACTACACAGCATATAAAACTAAATGCGATAATAAAATTAAATGCAAAAACTATGTATGTGTATATTATAACTGCGTTTCGACACAGACTCTTCCATCTTTTTCTTTCCGAACAGTTTAGTTATTCATTTTCGCACTTACATTTATCTTGCAATTACTCTCAAATACGTACAACTTATAGTTAGTTGAATCCCATCGATTTTGCGAATGTAAATCACGCACGTAAACGAATTCTCCCATGCGAGTGAATTAGTCCATTAAGAGTAACATCAACTTTTCCGAATTCATGATCGTGAGAGAAGACCAAGTCGAAGAGGGTGAGAAAAAGACGGAGACGAAGCGATCGAGGGAATGGGAAGAAACGTGAGAGAGAGAGAGAGAGAGAGAGAGAGAGAGAGAGAGAGAAAGAGAAGCGTCGTTGTGTATAGGGATCCCGCGGGGTATATAATCAGCGAGATGAGATGAGAGGGGTACTAGCTACCTCTTGTTTGTTTTGTTAGTTAGCGAGTCGTTAGGTAGTCTCTCCTCTCTGCCCTCCTCCCGCGACGGAGTCCGAGTTGCACGGAAACTGCGAGTGGTCGACCACCCAGCTATGTAGCAGTCTACGTCGTGGCAGCAAAGTTACCAAGAGAGAGAGAGAGAGAGAGAGAGAGAGAGAGAGAGAGAATCTCGTGCCACACTAATCGGCCTTATTACGCATACTTTGACGACATCGAGCTCGTTACTCTTTATTAATCATTCTTATGCCTGCGCATCGATCGCTATCGCTAGGCCAGAAACGTTCAGAAAAATCATCCTTTTCCTCTCTTCCTTATTTTTATATATATTTATACACCTCTAGCTTTTTCTAACTGTTAACCTGTCCCTTTAGATATTTTTTTCTTTTCCCTTTTTAAGTTTTTAAGTTTTTATCGACGTTCCTCGAATGCAATCGCGTCGTTCCATTCATCACCGCGCGACCGGAATTCATCGAGTGAGTTTTTGCTTTTCCAAACGTAATAAATTCGCGGAAGGGAATTAGCGAATCTGTCGAATATCCTCGCTCCACAATTGTCAGAGATTCGACTTGGGCTGTACATACGTCTCGCGCGACGCGATTTCAATGGAGATGTCAAATTCAATCTTCTCGACTCTTCAACTTTTTCATTTGGCATCTTTCGGCGATACGGCGATACGGCAATACAGCATTGTCTAAAAATATATTTATTAAAATAGATGAATCGTTTTTTTTTGTTAACAATCTCCAATGTGTTGGGGCAAAGGTGCGAGAGGAGTCGAGAACTGAGGGAACTGATATCTGTTGGTAGATTTGTGGATCTACTAATGTAGATGCGCGCCAAGAGACACGGCTACCGTTGTTCGCCGAGTAAATACTACCAGATACCAGATATGTATAGTAGCGGCAAACACTCGAGAAGGTTGAGACCTTACGAGACGATCGACCCTAGGCTTTCGAAATTCGACGTCGAACGTCGTAGCTAACCGCTTCGACATTCAATGTATTTGTAAAAAGAAATTATACTTTTTAAATATAAATATGAGATTTTTTTTTATTGTTATACATCTCAAATTCTCTAGATGTATCATCTGTCGCTAATTGTCTTATTTCGATTTCAAATGGCAAGATTACGTTGACGCGCTCGCGCGTCATAAATATCCGCGCGAAGAATCGCTTCGATGAGAGCAACGACTCGCTGAGAACCGTTTCGGAGCCTGGAACTGCCTGGAACGAACAATGGTCCAGCGGCATGCGTGTTGGTCTCGCGCATGAGAAAGAGAGAGAGAGAGAGAGAGAGAGAGAGAGAGAGAGAGAGAGAGAGAGAGAGAGAGAGAGAGAGAGACAGAGAG